CCTCAGTCCTCAGCACACCGCCACCCCTCAGTCCTCAGCACGGCCAGAGCGTTCTCAGCCGGTTCGAGCCCCGGACCCGCAGGCGGAGGCCGCTCGGATCTCACCCAGTCCGCGGCGTGCCCAGCGTGGCAGAGGCCGCAGCCGCCACATCACCCGGCAAGCTCGTGTGGAGCAGCGGAGCCGCCATCGGGCCGGAGCAGCGCAGACGCGGCGCCTGCCGCCGGAAGCCACGGCCGCTGGCCCGCCCCGGAAGTCCCGGTGGAGAGGCAGCCTCCGGCCAATGGCGGCCCACGTGAGGAGAGCATGGCTATCGCAGTAGAAGGCCAATCTGTCCGGCCCTGTGAAGCGTGCATAAGAATAGGCAGGGACAGCTAGGCGGCCCTGTCGGTGGCTGGGTTCCTCAAAACCTGAAAGACTCCGGCCATGGTGGCGTGCGCCTGTAACCCTGGCTTCCGGAGGTGGAGGCGGGAGGATCAGGAATTCAAGACTAGACGATAAAGTGCTAGGACCTGGGTTACCCAGTAAAGAGCCCAGAGTGATGTTAAGCATAGGAGAGGTGGAGACAGAAGGATCGCTGGGACTCGCCGGCAGGACCTCCGCGAGCATGCAAGCACCCACAGGACGCTAAAATCAAATCGAAGAAATTAAATCTTCACTGTGGAGAGATTTAATGAACACATGATCTGTATGTCATTTTAGACAAACACGATAATCTTACTCTCTGGGAAACACACGGCACGCAGAAGCCTGTAGGCTGTGGTGGAAAACCAGGAGAGGGCTGGAGGGGTGTCTCCATGGCTAAGAGGACCCACGTTCGAGAGCTGGTCGTGGTGATGCATGCCTTTAATCCCAGCACCGGCAGAGGCTGGCATTGAGTTTGAGGCTAGCTTGGACTACAGAGAAAGTTCCAGGACAGCCAGGGTTACACAGAGAGACCCTGACTCGAAGAAGAAAAAAAAAACGAGGGCCAGGTTTGATTCTCAGCACCCAAGTGATGGCTCACAACTGTCAGTAACTCGAGTCCTCAGTCCCAGGGGATCTTATACCTCTGGGCACAGCAGGCACATAGTGCACAGACATGTATGTATGCAAAACATCCAAACACATAAATAAATTTTTAAAGTTTTAAAGAGTTGTTTGCTCCCCAGAAGACTTTTTTTTCCTAGACAGGGTTTCTCCGTGTAGCTTTGGAGCCTGTCCTGGAACTCTGTAGATGAGGCTGGCCTTGAACTCACAGAGATCTACCTGCCTCTGCCTCCCAAGTGCTGGGATCAAGGACACTATCAACTGGCAGCAGGATCCACTAAACCATCACTTCAGCCCACATTTTTCTTCTTTTTTTTTTTCTGATTATTGGTTTGGTTTGGGGTTTTGTGTTGTTGTTATTGTTGTTGTTGTTGTTGTTTGGGTTGTTTTTGAGACAGGGTCTCTCTAGGTAGCCTTGCAGAGATTCTGCTGCCTCTGCCTCCCAAATGCTGAAGTTGAAGGTGTGTGTCACCATACCTTAGGCCCAGCCTATTTTTTTCTTTTTAGAAAGACTTACATATTTCTGTGTGTGCCTAATTGTCTATATGTACGTACCATGTTCATGTAGATGCCTGCGGAGGGATTTACTGGAACTAGCTGTTGTGACCTACCTGGCATGAATTCTGGGAACCAAACCCAGGTCCTCTACAAGAAGTGCTCTTAACTGCTAAGCCATCTCTCCAGCCTCAAAGGAAGAGTTTTTCTTCAGAAAACAGCAGAAATAAAGCTTTGTGACTGAGGGAGAGGAAAGACTACACCCCACTCTCAGTAAGAAAGAAAAATGAAACTTTTGGGAGCTGGGTAGAAATTAAGACAAGACTATCTTCATCTTGATAACTAAAAAGCACAGCTCTGTTTTGCAACATCATAAATCCAAACAGCATTCTGCGGTTTTGAATTGATTTTCTATCTGATACTGTTTTAGAGTTTCTGGGGAATGTTGGAGAGAAATCACCCAGTCTCCAGAGCAGGGAAAATAATTGCACATAAGCTTTATCAACGCTTCAGGATGGCTGTTTTTGCAGAAACCTATTTCCCTCTATCCCAGAGAAAAGCCAAGAGTGATGAACACAGTACATGGGAGTGACGCATGAAGAACAGGAACTGTCAAGTGACTGCCAGTTCAACCATAACTCCATGAGTTTTAAGTTGAACATATACAGAAAAATAAAAAATAAAACACCTAGCCGGGCGGTGGTGGGGCACGCCTTTAATCCCAGCACTCGGGAGGCAGAGGCAGGTGATCTTTGTGAGTTCGAGGCCAGCCTGGTCTACAGAGCGAGATCCAGGAAAGGCGCAAAGCTACACAGAGAAACCCTGTCTCAAAAAAACAAAAATAAAAACACCTATGATTATACCACCTAATTTAAGAAACAACTCTGAACTGCACTGTTGACTCCCAGGGTTCACTTTTGCAAGCCCCGAGAGCCACATGAGTGGCCAGGCCCCTCCCCCACGGACCTCTGCCAGGTTCCACCCACAGACTGCGCTAACTGCTGGACTCTGCCCCCGACCCTGCAGAGCAAAAAGCCCAATCTCTGGACATGAAATCCCACCAATCTCCACTCTGGAAAGTTCCACCCCCTTCCCAAGAAATTCTATATCTATCCTGTTCAGTGTGCTGCTGTTTCTCATCCAAGCAGAGGCAGCCACCCTCCTGATATTTTCCCTCCCAATAAGTCTCTTGTATGAGGTTTGTTGTGTGGTGTGACTTTGTGGTATTCCTTGGCTCCCAGCTGCCAGGATATCTTTCCATCCAAGCTGTAATGCTTACATTTGGTGTCATGACTCAGATAGGCTCTCCTAATGCCTGCTTTTCCCCTCAGGGTCTAAGCTTCACTGGGACCCTATCCCTTATCTCCAGGCCATCTGCAACAGACTCTCTGGCTCACCAATCGCTCAACACCCCATCCACCAGTAGCAAAGGTAAGATCCTCTTTTGGTTGGTCACAAATCATTAACAACTACTATTGCCACAGACAAAGGGTCCTTAAATATACCTAAACTTACCCTGCTACACTTCCAAAGTCTCTTGCCTCTACAGCTCTAATTCTTTACTCTTAAAAATCTTTTATTCCTGTGGTTTCTTGCATGCTGCTCTATACTGTAAACTCTTATTTCGGGATTTGTAAGTTGCTAATCAGGCATGGTTTAAAATCTATATAATTTGTACCAAAGTCTGTTTCCCATGGAAAATTTTGTTTGTCTCACTGTTAGAAAAGTTCTGTCTATTTTGTATGGATAAATGGATCTGTGCCTGCATATATTCTTGTGGAGCCACACAGAATGACTTCAGGCTCATCTGGGTGTGTAAATATATGTGACCACTGCATGCTTGCTTCTGACTGGTCTTGGATGCCTGAGTTTACATGTCCCATGTGTCTTGGTGATAGCTCAGCTGTTACTATTGCAACTAGCTGCCTGGGCTCAGAATCTGCCTCTGGGCTTTCTGGCTATTGAATCTGATGTAATGACAGAGGTTCATATGTCATTTGGATAGAAATAATATTAAAGTTATTTTATGCTGTTCTACCTTAATTTAAAAAAAAAAAAGCTAAGGAATTGGGTATGGTTAAAAATCTGTAACAAAAGGTTGACTTAAAACTTGTAACTCCAGGGTTGGAGAGATGGCTCAGCGGTTAAGAGCACTTACTGCTCTTCCAAGGGTCCTGAGTTCAATACCCAGCAACCACATGGTGGCTCACAACCATCTGTAATGAGATCTGGTGCCCTCTTCTGGCCTGCAGGCAACACAGAACACTGTATACATTTTTTTTAAAAAAAAAAAAAACCTTAAAAAAAAAAAAAAAAAAACTTGTAACTCCAAATTGGAACTGCTGTCAGAAACAGCACATGGGTTTGCCACCATCTAAATTAGTACAGCCTTGTGGGCGGTCACCATTTTGACTAAAGCTGGAGACGAGGGATGTCATGTGACTTCACCATCTCGATTAAAGGTGACCACATGGAGTGGGCCTACCAAGGAGACACCTCCTTGATATTGATCTGAAAGGTCTCCAGGATATTTAGGATTAGGATGGATTTCTGTATGATAACTCCTGTCTTGTCCTAAAACCAAGGTTTTTGAAAGATAATATTTAAAACAATGCTAGTTTACTGAGGTATTAAATTAGCTGCATCTCCTTGCATTCATGTACAGGGACATATCTTGTTGGCAACCAGATTTTGTAACATAAGAGTAATCCCCTTGGTATTGATTTTAGAGACACTAAATTGTTGAAACTTGGTTTTGCCTTCTACAAATGGAGGCTAACAATGATCAATTTAGGAATGTATATCTAACCTTCTTGCTTTTACTAACATTGTTAAGCTGTAGCTAGTTTGGTGAACTTAGTCATGCATACAACTGTTTTATTCAATAATGGTGTAGTGTTTATGAAATAAAAGTCTCATCTTGATATTAAAAGAGTTTCAGTTCAGAAATTGTTATTTAAGGCTAAACTTAACAGGGATAAAGCTATAAAACCCTAATCTTATAAGACATACAAGTTTACTGAAAGTCACCTCATAAAGGATCAGCTTCTTTGATATGTTTATATTTAGCTTACATATCTTCTCAAAGTTAAGACTAAAACAAGTAACTAAAAACAAACATTTGTCTAGTTTAGATATGCCTAACAGATAATGATCCCCAAACGCTTCAGAGATCTGAGAATATGGCATTTAAAATGTTTAGTGAAGAAAAAAAACCTTTTCATGACAGAGATATGCCAGCTCTTGGCAGCACCCCTACCTCCTCCAAAGAAGATGGATGGGCACAGAAGAACCTCCACCTAGAGATTACTTTAAATGTAGCAAAGCCAGCCACGGAGCAGAAAAAAAAAAAACTGCCTTTAACCTCAGCAGCTGCCAAGATCCTCTCCAGTCTGTGGACAAGCAGGACACTAGGGAATTGATTTCCCCACTTTGCCTAGACAAGGTTTGCTGGTCTCCCCAAATTCCTACTCCACAGGAAAGTCTGTCAGATCTTCTGGGCCTGGCAGCTGAAGACTGGTACTGCCCTAGGACCTCTGTCCCCAGTGACCACAGAGGAACCTGGGGTGTGGTGATGTATTGTGTCCCCCAATATACTGTGTCTCCCAATAAAATTACCTGAGGATCAGAGGAAAAAGCGAGCCACTATAGTAAACAAAAGTCATGCAATGTTAGCACACGCCTTTAATCCTATCACTCACAGGCAGGGATCTGTCTGGACCTATGCAAGTTCAA